TTATCCATTTTGATGACAAGTATTTCCGGACGGAGGGAGTACATTCTTTTTCTTTTGCTTTAAAAGAAAAGCCACACTTCTACTGCGCTAAAACGTCTAGAAAAACGAAGCAATATTACACACGGCGACACTGGTTTTGATGAGCTTTTAAAGGCTGCAAAGGCGTCAACTCTGAACCCTTGAAAAATCATGTCCTCGGCATTGGTTTTGGAGGACCGGCCAGTACTCGATTGTTCCATGAAATTAAAAATACCGTACCACACATTTAACTTGGTAGTACTACTCAGTAAACAGTTGCACGCTAACCTACATCTTGTACTGAGTAAACAATGCTGCTGCTCCAACCCTGGGGTCCAATTGCATGTGCAAATCTCACTCTGGATCTTCTCCCACACACTAAGCATCTCCATGCCACTGCCCTAGCTTCCCGACTTCACATAGTTAGGCTAGCCTGGTTCAGATTTGCCTTTATCTGTGTCACTTCTCCTTCAACCTTTATTTAGTTTAGTGGGATTCTCCTATCAATCAGCAGCTTTTTATATTGGCAATTACCTTGCATACTGCGCTTTTTATCCTGAAAAAGAAATGAATGAACATCATGTGTGTTGATTTCACTTGCTAATGGATTAGCTCAAAACTGGTGATGAGGCTGCTGCAATCATGTAAGATCTGACTGATTGGACTGTGAGCTTTAGCGTGCTGTCCTCTACAGTATACTTAGCCTGTCTTAGTTAAGCTGAGCCCACTTCAACAAAGTGCCACATGATGTGGTTTCCTGATGTTGGAAACGAGCCTTAGTGTCTAGACTATATTTGGTTTGTGGTAATCCTACTTTGGTGTTCCATTCAAGAAAGTTGTGTGTGATATGATGTGCTCATCTTGGAGACCAGTATTCATGAGCTTTAGTTTCCTCCTTGCATCCCCTTTCTCTGCTTTATTGATGCCTTCCGTCTTTTACATCATTGCATCTCGACCCTACCACTATGTTTTATTTTTTACTTTTAGTTACTTTCTTGTGCAACTTTTTATCTCATGCTTGTATTGCCTTTCAATGAGCGCCGTTCTTTGGATGCATAATTCTTGTCCCTGGTGTTGATTAGCTGTTATTCATTTGTTATCCTGTGATTTGACAATGCTTCAGGGGCATAGGGAATCATCTCCGTAGTGAATAAGAAGGCTCAGTAAAGGGCTTGGTTGCAAAACCAGCCTAGAGGCTTCCCATGCATAATTTCTGATCATTCACACTATTCGGTTTCCTCCGCTTTATTTGACTTCCTTTTAAAAAGAGAAGCAAGCTGCACTAGCTTCAAACACAAGTTTATAAAATTATCAGGCTTCAGTAGGAATATTTTTCTTTTGATAGTGCTTTGGTCTTTCATGGCATGACAGTGTGGGCCTTTGCCTTTGTGGTTTGTTCTTCCTGAGTCCTCATTACGTCTTCGACAGGTGCGCGCATCTACACACTGGCACAAGGAACTGTGTTTCCTCCCACACTCCGCGTGCACACACACATATCTGATGTCATTGCTTGCAGTTTTATAACGAGTTAAAAGGCAAATGGAGTTATGTTTAAAGTTGTTCTTTCAGTTTATCATATTTTAGCACTAAAGTGTTCATTTTTATTGCAGCTGTTTGATTATTACATTGGCCTAAACAGATGAAGTTGTCTCTCATTTAGTGACATTGACTCCGAGAGATCACTAATGGGCTATCTAAATCTTAGAGGCCCTTTGCTTCCATTGCTCTGTCTGCATCTGCTGCTATCACTATTCATCCCATTTGCTACAGCAGACATAGCCTCTGAGAAGCAAGCTCTTCTTGCTTTTTCCTCCGCAGTCTACCATGGCAAGAAGCTCAACTGGGGTCAAAACATCTCACTGTGCTCATGGCATGGTGTAACATGCGCAGAGGATCGATCACATATATTTGCGCTTAGGGTACCAGCTGCTGGGCTGATTGGTGCAATTCCTCCAAATACTCTTGGCAAGCTTGTCTCCCTTCAGGTGTTAAGCCTGAGGTCTAATCGGCTGAGCGGAAGCATTCCTTCTGATGTCACTTCACTTCCTTCTTTACGTTCCATATTTCTTCAGCATAATGAACTGTCAGGAGATTTGCCTTCCTTTTTTTCTCCCGGCCTCATTACCCTTGACCTTTCCTATAACTCCTTTACAGGGCAAATGCCTACAAGCTTGCAAAATCTTACTCAGTTATCTATCCTGAATTTGGCAGAAAATTCTTTGTCTGGACCTATTCCTAATCTCAAACTTCCAAGCTTAAGACAATTAAATTTGAGCAATAATGAGCTGAATGGCTCAATTCCTCCCTTCCTCCAAGTATTCTCAAATACTTCATTCCTGGGGAACCCTGGATTGTGTGGGCCTCCTCTAGCTGAGTGTTCTGTTCTTCCTTCGCCGACACCCTCGTTACCGCTGTCACAAACATTGCCACGACATGGAAAGAAAGTGGCTACTGGATTTATCATTGCGGCTGCCGTTGGAGGCTTTGCTGTATTTCTGCTAGCTGCTGTGGTTTTCACCGTGTGCTTTTCAAAGAGGAAGGATAGGAAAGAAGCGCGAGCGGATTACAAGAGCAAGGGAGCCGATGGTGCAAGGATTGACAAGCATAAAGCGGATGTCAGCAGTGGTGTCCAAATGGCTGCCAAGAACAAGTTGGTTTTCTTGGAGGGATGCAGTTACAGCTTTGACTTGGAAGACTTACTGAGAGCTTCTGCAGAAGTCCTTGGCAAGGGGAGCTATGGAACCGCCTACAAAGCTTTACTCGAGGATGGCACTATAGTGGTTGTCAAGAGGCTCAAGGATGTTGTGGCAGGGAAGAAAGAATTTGAGCAGCAGATGGAGCTTATCGGGAGGGTAGGCAAACATGCAAACCTCGTGCCTCTGCGTGCTTACTACTACTCAAAGGATGAAAAGCTTGTGGTTTATGAATTTGTTACTACTGGAAGCTTTTCAGCCATGCTACACGGTACGCTATTGCCTTTCACCGCTTCATTTTTTTTGGGTTTACATTAAATTGATTACTTTGCAAGTTAGGAGGCTAAATATCCATTGTTTTGTTAGCATGAGACAAACATACCTACCGTCCCTCGCAAAATTTACATGCACAAAAAGGCCATGCAGATAGCAAAGCTATGATATGTACTCCCTCCGTTCCTAAATGTAAGTCTTTGTAGAGATTCCACTATAAAACTGCATACGGATGTATATAGATGCATTTTAAGTTTAGATTCATTCATTTTGCTCCGTATGTAGTCCACCTAGTGGAATCTCTACGAAGACTTACATTTAGGAACGGACGGAGTAGAATATACACATCCATGAACTTCATTTTCTAGTTCTGTTAAGAGGACATTGTTCATTATCCACTCACTGAACGTGGCTCTAATTGTTGATCGATATCGGTTCTGATTAAAGTGCTGATGAACAGGCATTAAGGGTATTGTGGAGAAGACCCCATTGGACTGGAACACCAGGATGAAGATTATACTTGGAACAGCACATGGCATTGCACACATCCATGCAGAAGGAGGCCCCAAGCTTGCTCATGGCAACATCAAGTCCACCAACGTGCTCCTCGATCAAGACCACAACCCTCACGTCTCAGACTACGGGATGAGCACTCTGATGAGCCTCCCGATCAACACATCCCGGGTGGTGGTCGGCTACTGCGCCCCGGAAACCTACGAGTCGAGGAAATTCACCCACAAGTCGGACGTGTACAGCTTCGGCGTGCTGCTCATGGAGATGCTGACCGGAAAGGCCCCCCTCCAGTCGCAGGGGCAAGAGGACGTGATCGACCTGCCCAGGTGGGTGCATTCCGTGGTCCGCGAGGAGTGGACCGCCGAGGTGTTCGACGTCGCGCTGATGAAGTACCATAACATCGAGGATGAGCTGGTCCAGATGCTGCAGCTGGCCATGGCCTGCACGTCCCGGTCCCCGGACCGGCGCCCCACCATGGCAGAGGTGATCAGGATGATCGAGGACCTCCGGCAGTTCACCGCTTCCGAGAGCCGCGCCTCTTCCAATGAAAACCCCAGGGACTCCAACCCTCCATCGGCGTAAACGCTGGCTCTGCCTGGCTTGTTCTCAAGCACTTGCTTGTATTCATGAACAAGTGTTGTATCCTTATAACTGTTCCAATATTCCACGCGTGCATGTTAATTGGTAGTGTCTTTAACATGTAATCCTAATACATTGCCTCTGCTCGTGGGCATCAGACATTGTTGTGTCAATTGACGACATTGATTATCTTCTAGTACCTGCTTGCAAGTAGCAGATGCGCATACATGGCACAAGATCGCACCCAAGCAATAGATGAAGAACTACTCCCTCCGGTCACAAACATAAGATGTTCTAACCTTTTTGTGTGTTTGTTCACTCATTTCAATCTGTATGTCGGGTGTTTGTTCACTCATTTCAATCTGTATGTTGTCTATATTGAAATATCCAAAACAATTTGTATTTGTGATCGAAAAATGTTATGATACAACATAGAAAGAAACATGCAAAAACTCCATCCATTCCATAGTATAAGTGTCTTGCACTACATCAGCGACACTTAACACTTACAGTAGAACGGAGGGAGTAATAACCAATCAAGGTGGCCGTATCACCCACATACCAGAATTCAGAGAATACAAGGCATACCAACATTTCAGATGTTACTATAACATAAATCTGGCCAGTACAGCTTCTCACATGGTCAGACAAAGCCCTCTTGTATAAACCGGGAACAATAACTTCTCACGCCCCTGATAAAATTACAGGGGAGGAAGAAAAATCTATCGGCAGCAAGCACCGCCACTAATCACCATAGCATCCATATCTCTGCAGAATCCAATGCACCCGTCCAACACATTCGCCACCATCTTAATGTTACGAAGAAGTTCCAAAAGCTTACTGAAAACTATGTCAGTGCAACAAAAAACAGGACTCCTCTTTCCAGCACACAGATCTCGAGCAGCCCGATGGGCAGATGTAGAGTTACTTTTGGTTCACCAAGTCTGCACCACTGACATACCTAGCAACAAACGAGATCAACCGGAAGGGTGCGCCAACAATGGGGGCATCGGTGAATGGAACCTCCTCAGCTGTCTCAACATCTGATCCCGCTGGCTGTGGATCATCTTCATGAATCAGTATATCATCCAACGGAACCGGCACGATTTCACCACTTGTTCTTGGTTCATCAAATCCTTGGCGCGCATTTGCATTCATGAGGCTCTGGCCAGCACCATTGCTGCTCGTTGCTTCTGGAAAGTACACCAAAGTTTCATCTGCATGATCACTAGCATAGGCACCGACAGGAATGTTGCTGACATGACTGTAGATATTGTCCGAAGTAACTGCCAGCGAACTGTTCAGACCTCTATCAGCAGTAGGTTCGTTACCCTGCACACAGGGAAACATTGCGTTTAAGCAATTATGGATCATTGCAACACGTAAGGAAATCACATTCCCAACAAGTGGGGAACTGAACTGTAATCCCCCAGAATGGATATTCATGTAAATGAACTACGTACATAGATAATTTTTGGGTACAGTAACATCCTTGCGGAAATGGACAAACATTCGCATAGTAACATACTTACTTTACTCATCACGGTCGTAAAATCAGTGGTCTGCTTATGGAGAAATGAACCGGCCAGATCTGTTTGATTCATCACCTCAGTTTCAGGAACCTGCATCATAAAAAAAATCAGTTTTATAGAATAGTCTGGATGCTAAGAATTTATTACAAAGAGGTAATAAATAATACATATTTCTGACCAGGCAATTTCATTGGAGATTAAATATTCAGTTGTAGGTTGGTAGAAATCAAATGGGTATAAACATAAGAATCACTAGAGCGATGTTCTGGACAAACTTACCTCTTTAGTAATGGAGGCTTCAGTAAGTGCAATCTTTGCTTCAAGGGTTTGTAATCTTGACTCCAATTCATCCACACTTACCACCAACCGCTGATTTTCCTCAACAGTACTTTTTGAAGTTTCATCCAATACCTTCACCTGCCAGGCTTTGTTATTAAATAGTAATATCAGAATATATAAGTAAATGTGCACATGCTACATATGAAAATCGAACAATTGAAGGTCCAGATCTGACAGATTCATATACCAACATATGAACTATTAGACTCTTTTTTTTAGGTTTATTAAGGCCCCGTTCGGAATCCTTCCGCTCCTTAACTCCTCTGTGGAGCGGAGCGGCATACAGTAGGAATTTGGGGAGCGGCCAATAGGTTGCGCCGCTCCCTGGTGAAGGAGCGGAGGATTGCCGAACACAGCCTAAGTATAAACAACTACTCCGCAGAACCAAAGTACGTATGCTGTATCTCCTTTCAGAAAAAACAACTAATGCTTGCCCATAGGATACATATTGCGATATTAGTATTTCACTAAGGATTCATTTTTCTCAACCAGCTACAATGAAGAAAAATTAACAGTTGGAAACAGACGGTGTAATTCTTACCTGCTCCTGTAATGCTTTGTTGGTTTCCTCCAGCAAACTTAATCTTTCTTTAAGAGAAGTCTGAAGAAATTAAGCAGCATGTCAACCCAAAACAGTTAAAGAGAGAAATGATATAAGTCCCCGAAGGCATAAAAAACGCGAAGAGAAAGTAGTGATAAGTAATCTCTCTGAACATTACCTCCTGATGAGTTAGGACACCATTGACATCCTCAACGCACTTGACTTTGTTATCCAAAACCTCCTAAATGAAATTGGGAAATAAATATTATATTGGTGTTACTGTTTCAGCAACTTTAAATAAATCAAGCCTGATTAGTGATTTGCTCCATACATGAAGTTTGAGCTGCTTTGGCCGACCCAAAGACATATATCGTCCCAACGGCATATCTAGTGATTTTGATTCATCACTTGCCTTAAACTAAACTACCGATTGAGTGAACAAGCTAAGGCCTCCTTTGGTTTGGAGGAATTTTATAGGATTTTCATAGGATAGGATTTCTATAGAAAAATTCCTTCAGAGCTCTTTGGTTTGTAGGAATGAAATCCTATTCCTATGGAGGAATTCTTCCTATCCTCCACATTTCATAGGAAAACAAACATTAGCCTAGACTCAATGGAAAAAATCCTATGGTGTGAATCAAAGGGCATCTCTTTTTCTATTCCTATGCATAGGATTTGAGATGCATGTCATCTCATTTCCTATGACTTTCCTATTCCTATGATTTTCCAATCCTATGAACCAAAGGAGGCCTAAATATCATGGCTTTGCAACCCATGGCACTAAATTAACAAGCTAAAAAAGATGATCCAGTCATTTTGGGATGATCATCCTGTAAAATGGAAGTAAGGTACTTCATTGTATTTTTGAAACTGCTTTTAGTTTTTACCATTGTCAAAGCCTAAGCTCAAACCAAAGTTAATCGGTAAAGTTTGACCTCCTATACAACAAGACTGGCACATAGACCTTCTCATCAAAGAAATAAATAAGTAGAAGGAACAGCAAATACCTCCTTTTTAACCAGCATATCGTACCCATTCTGTAGATTATTAAGTTTTTCCTCCAAAATGACCTAAAATAAAAGGAAATATGAGGTAAGAAAATTCAATTCATTCCACCTAGCTACAAGGAAGAAAATAAATAGTAGACTCGAGAGAGTAAGATAATTTCCCAGCTGCATTGATAAAATCAAATGGTGATTACATCCAGCACATAAAACATACCTCATTTTGTGCATGATAACCCACTTTGTTATGCAACTTTTCAAGTTCGCTCTCCATCTTGTTCTGCAGGAAAAGAAATATAAGAGTATTTTGTATGAGATGTTTCTAGTAGTGTGCAAAATAGTTTTTTCATGTTGAGAAGTGAACATCTGGTTCAGATAATAAGCAGACAACAGACAGGCTTTGCATCTGTTGATCCATAATCCCTTTGCTCAATTACCCTTAAACAAATAAATGATATTTCCCGCAAAAAAGTACATGATACTGTTATGTATGTCGATGTTAAAAACAGGGGCAAGCATACATACCACTTTTTGAAGCCATAAACCTTTCTCATCTTCCAATTGCTTTATTGTATCGTGTAATTTCTCCTGCGGTGGCAATGAGTGTATTTACAAGGATGAACAGCACAAAGAATCAAATGAGCAAATGCGGAGCTGGAAGTGCAAACTGAGAAATCCAAGTAGTGTTCACTGATGAAAGAGCAGGTATCTAGCAACAATATTGCAGAAATCATAACATTCTTCTTTACAGGAACGGTTACATGGTAGGTATGCATGATCAGGGGATGTTCACAGTGAAGATATATCAAACTTGAATTGAAAAGATAGAGGCCGTTGACAGTGCAGTTACCGTTTACAGAAGAACTTACAAGCTTTGATTCAAAAAGTCGGTCCTTGCCAAGTTCCACGGTAGAATCTGAAATCCCAATGCTCCTCTGATCTGCGTAGGCTGTATTACTGACCTTGTGACTCTCGTGTGTCATGGTAGGTTCGTGATTCTCATCGCATGGAATCACCTCACCAACAGACGACGATATGGTTTCATCAGCGTTTGCAATATTGTGCTTTGCATGTGGAATCTGCTCGTGATTCTGGTACTGTGTTCCCTCTCCAACACTGGACACTGCATCTCCAACACTGGACACTGCATCATCTGCATCGGCACCACTATAATTTTCTTTTGGAGCCAAATCATCATTGTGGCTCTGAGGAACAGCTTCATCGGCATTGGTCACCGCATCACCAGTATTCTTCCCTTGGTTTCCCTTCTTCTTCCTGTTCCTCTTCTTTTTGCCATCCATCTCTTGTTTTGCAGCTTAGCCCTTAAATTACTATCTGTATCTACTAGCATGGCGACAACGAACAAAATGAACTTTCAGCTAATTTGTTGAACAGGCCTTTTTATCAGATAGATTAAGTATCCTGAGTTTCATGGCAATCTATTGGTGAAAAATGAAAACAGATTATGTGCGTAATATTTTTATCTTCCTGCCATAAACCATACAATTTAGTCATTTCGGTAACAAGTCATATCCCTATCTTGATTCATGAACGCCACAAGAAAGGAAACCTCACACTTCATTCAACCAACGGCAACACAAGGCCGGAGATTACGAGCAAAATAATAATCTCAGCTTGTGATTTCAGCCACTGCGCGCCTATGCCCATGCGTGTGTCTATATGTAAGCAACGGATTCGTACATAACAAAAGTTTCTACTGACAAACGCCGGCAGAACACACAGCCGGCGACCCCGGAGGTGGTTCTGCGGCGACCAAAGGGGAACACAAGATCATTTTTTGTACTACTAATAACTTGATGACGAGTTCGAATAGAAATTTCAAGGGTACACGGCGGAGAATTAAGATAAGGAAATGCCAACGGCCCGGTGGTACTAACCCTAGAAACGCCGCCGCTTCTGCTGGCCACGGATTGGGGAGGTTGGGGATCTGGAGGAGGGCGATGGGTTAACTAGGTGGGAAGGTGGATTTTTGGGGGAGCGTTTGTTTAGGCCCTCTTTGATTCGCAGGATTTTCAAATCGTAGGAATAGGAAAAGTATAGGGTTGGAGTGGCATGCACACATGAATCCTACAGGATTAGCATGGAGTGTTTGATGGCACAGAAAAAGCAAAGGAATTGTAAAAAGAGGTTGGAGTGGATGTTAGATTTCCTATGAAATGTAGTACAAAAGATTCCATAGGAAAAATTCCTATGGGATCCAATCCTATGAATCAAAGAACCAACATAGGAAAAATTCTTAAGGATTTCAATCCTCCAGAAATCCTATAGAATTCCTTTGAATCAAAGGAGCCCTTAAATTGGAAAGAGATCTTGGTAGGAGGGAGGGAGGGAGGGAGGAGGACGGCTAGGGCGGAATGGTCGGTGGCTTGACGCTGCGCGAGCCTGCGCGCACGTTCTATCTATTTTTCTCGCCGAAACTTCCATTCTTCCTTCGCCACTAGTACTTAGTACTCCCTCCATCCCATAATATAACACATTTTTTTGACTCTAATGTAATGTAAAAAACGTCTTACATTATGGGACGGAGAGAGTACTTGTTATCTTATGTAAATGCAGAATTTTGCAGACAGGAATTCTGCATTTTTATATTATTTGACATTGCGGCGACAAGATTTTGTTGTATGCTTCCATTTCCATACCAAATTTGTTGTCGTAATATTATTTTTTATGCTCAAGGCTAACATTTCGTTCTAGGTTGTAAAGTAAGCTTATTAGGTCTTATTTATTCGGAAAAGAAGATTAGGTCTTAATTTTCCATCAATATCTTTTTTGAAAGGCAAATTTTCCATCGATATCCATACGAGCTATTTCGTTGTTGTTGTGAGTACTTTCGTTGAGCAATAAGAGGCAAAGTGACGCGAGAAAAGCAAATATTAAGGGGCCCTTTGATCCACGGGGTTCTAAAAATGTGGGAATAAAAAAAACATAGGATTAGAATGTCATGCTCATCTTAATCCTACAGGATTTTTTTTGTTGTTTAATTGCATCACCGGAAAAACAAAGGATTTTTGTGTGGATGCTAGAAAATCCTATGGGAAGTAGAGAAAAAAATACTTGAAAAAAATTCTATGGGATTCAATCCTATGAATCAAATAACCAACATAGAAAAAATTCCTATGGATTCTAATCCTCCAAATTCCTATAAAAATCCTTTGAACCAAAGGAGCCCTAATAGACTCCAATCTCCATTAAGGCCTCCTTCAATTTAAAGGAATATTGTAGGAATTGCGAAGGATAGGAACTTTGCAGGAAAATTTCCTTTGGAGCCTTTTGGATTGTAAGGATGGACTCTTATTCCTACGTAGGATAGGAATCAATCCTTCACATTTCAAAGAAAAAAATATTAGCCTAGACTCAATGAAAAAAATCCCTATTCTATGCATCAAATGACATCTCTTTCTCTATAGGATTGAGATGCATGTCATCTCACTTCCTATGAATTTTCTGTTTCTATACTATTTGTAAGGGCATATTTATCCCTTAGTAGTTTTGGTGATTGATGAAAATGTTTTTGCGGACTAATCGTGTGCATTGAGATTTCAGATATATCATGTCAAGATGATTTGGTGCCCCTCAAAGACTATTGAAGACGGCGTTTTTCTACGTTTCTTTTCGGTGGATTTGAGTCGTAGGGAAGCCATACTATTAAGAGGGGGTCCGCGTTGGAAGGGTTTGGGTGGAATCATCACGTACACGTCTGTTCCTTTCTGCACCTTCTTTCCTTTGGCTCTTTGGAGCATCCTCCGTCTCTCCATGTCTCTGCAAAATGAAGGACTACTAGTAATGCTGAACTGAGGCAGGCGGTAGTACTGCTCTTCGGAGCGGTACTACCGCAGACCCTTGCGGTAGTACCGGCCACAAGCGCGATAGTACCATAGGTGCTCACGGTAGTACCGCTCCTTGGGAGCGGTAGTACCATCTTGGGAGCGGTAGTACCATGGCCGCAGGCTAGGCGCAGCTGCTCGAGCGGTAGTAGGGGCGGATGTAATTTTTTATATCCGTGTCCTACGCGGTAGTACCGCTCCACGGGCGCGGTAGTACCGTGGGCTCTCGCTAGGCATAGCAGCATGAGCGGAAGTAGGGGCGGATGTAATTTTTTACATCCGCGCCCTACACGGTAGTACCGCTCCAGGCTTGTGGTAGTACCGTGTCGGATTTTTGCATAGATCAAAACTCAATGGAAGTAGTCACGGATGTATTTTTATATGTCCGTGCCTTCTCAGCCTAGACTATTCCTGCCTTGCGGTAGTACCGCCCCAGCGGTTCTACCGCTCCCTGCCTTAGCGCATCAGGACTGGTCTTAGCCCCTGTTGTGCCAGAGGTAGTACCGCATCTCTTTGCGGTAGTACCGCAAGCCCTTGCAGTAGTACCGCTTGTATGATGCGGTAGTGCTACCTCTTGAGCACTGCGTTGGTTTTCCCTTGAAGAGGAAAGGGTGATGCAGCAAAGTAGCGTAAGTATTTCCCTCAGTTTTTGAGAACCAAGGTATCAATCCAGTAGGAGGCTCCTCACAAGTCCCTTGCACCTACACAAACAAACAAGAACCTCGCAACCAACGCGATAAAGGGGTTGTCAATCCCTTCGCGGTAACTTGCGAAAGTGAGATCTGATGGAGATAATAAGATAAGATAAATATTTTTGCTATTTTTATGATATAGATTGAAAAGTAAAGATGCAAATAAAAGTAGACCGAAAACTTATATGATAAAAGATAGACCCGGAGGCCATAGGTTTCACTAGTGGCTTCTCTCAATATAGCATAAGTATTACGGTGGGTGAACAAATTACTCTCGAGCAATTGATAGAAAAGTGCATAGTTATGAGATTATCTAGGCATGATAATGTATATAGGCATCACGTCCGCAACAAGTAGACCGACTCCTGCCTACATCTACTACTATTACTCCACACATCGACCGACTCCTGCTTGCATCTAGAGTATTAAGTTCATAAGAACAGAGTAATGCATTAAGCAAGATGACATGATGTAGAGAGATAAACTCAAGCAATATGATATAAACCCCATCTTTTTATCCTCAATGGGAACAATACAATATGCGCCTTGCTGCCCCTGCTGTCACTGGGAAAGGACACCGCAAGATTGAACCCAAAGCTAAGCACTTCTCCCATTGCAAGAAAGATCAATCTAGTAGGCCAAACCAACCTGATAATTCGAAGAGACTTGCAAAGATAATCAATCACAAATAAAAGAATTCAGAGGAGATTCAAATATTTCTCATAGATAAACTTGATCATAAACCCACAATTCATCGGATCTCAACAAACACACCGCAAAAAGAGTTACATCGAATAGATCTCCAAGAAGATCGAGGAGAACTTTGTATTGAGATTCAAAGAGAGAGAAGAAGCCATCTAGCTAATAACTATGGACCCGAAGGTCTATGGTAAACTACTCACAACTCATCGAAGAGGCTATGGTGTTGATGTAGAAGCCCTCTGTGGTCAATTCCCCCTCCGGCGGAGCGCCGGCGAAGGCTCCAAGATGGGATCTCGCGGATACAGAAGGTTGCGGCGGTGGAAATAGTTTTTCATGGTGCTCCTGGATGTTTTCGGGGTACGTAGATATATATAGGCGAAGGAGGTAGGTCAGGGGAGCCACGAGGGGCCCACGAGGGTGGGGCACGCGCCCACCCCCTAGGGCGCGCCCTCCTGCCTCGTGGTCGCCTCGGCTGCTTCTTGATGTCCACTCCAAGTCTCCTGGATTGCGTTTGTTTCAAAAAGATCACTCCCGAAGGTTTCATTCCGTTTGGACTCTGTTTGATATTCCTTTTCTTCGAAACACTGAAATAGGCAAAAAAAACAGCAATTCGGGTTGGGCCTCCGGTTAGTAGGTTAGTCCCAAAAATGATATAAAAGTGTAAAGTAAAGCCCATAAATATCCAAAACGGGTAATATAATAGCATGGAACAAACAAAAATTATAGACACGTTGGAGACGTATCAAGCATCCCCAAGCTTAATTCATGCTCGTCCTCGAGTAGGTAAATGATAAAAACAGAATTTCTGATGTGGAATGCTACCTAGCATATTTCTTAATGTAATTTTCTTTATTGTGGCATGAATGTTCAGATCCAAATGATTCAATATAAAAGTTCATAAAACATAAAAATAGTAATACTTCAAGCATACTAACAAGTAATCATGTCTTATCAAAATAGCATAGCCAAAGAAAGCTCATCCCTACAAAATCATATAGTTAGACCATGCTTCATTTTCATCACACAAAATACTCCCATCATGCACAACCCCGGTTTCAGCCA